CATTGGTGCCGAAATCGTCAATTTGGCAGCTTCTAAAGAAAGCTCTTCGTTCACCCAAAGTCCTCCATTTGATTGGATATCCAAGTCATTATCTTTAATGATGATTGAAGTGAAGCTTGAAGTTTCTTTTGAAGTGATTTTCTTTGTTGAAAGTGACTCGATTACAATGCTGCACTTTTCACTACTTTTGTCGATGGAGTGTGTACATGGGCAGCTTTTGTCATTGTTATCTATGAAAGAGTCGGGATTTGAAAAATCAAGCTCAGTGATATCTGTCTTAAATTTACAAACCTTTGTCCCAAGTCCAAATTGAGAGCAAGTGGACCCCATCGTTGAAGGAACAACAATTCTATTTGAACACATTGAGACTAGGGTGGATGGAAGGTCGCCTTTATAAGCGCGTGTATTTTCGTTGTATATGATTATGTTATCTGTTATAATCTTTGATGTCAAAACAACTCCTTTAATAATCAAAGCGTCTGGAGATGTTGAAGATATCAGAGCTTTGGATGGTGTATCGGCAATTTTAACTGATAAATCAAAATATGCCGAATTTGCAATGAGTGAATTATCACCAAGAATTATTCGTGAATTGTAATCCATTGTAAATTCGTTGAGCACAATATTTTGTGAAGACTCGAGAATAGTGTTAATTAGATTAATAACTTGAGTGTCTGATAATCTTGTTTCATTTAATTTTAAAGTAGTTGTATTAAAAGTCACACCAGAGTTGATAGTCAAATTAGCAATAACCAATTCAGTTGTTTTTGAATCGGCCCTGACCATGCATCTGTTTGTGAATTCGACTTCGTTGAATTCCACAGATGATTTTAAAGTGATGAGTTTGCTTTTGATTAACAATTTATGTGTTTTCAAAAATTCCAACAAGCTACTTTTTGAGTTGTCAAGGTTTTCACCAACGAAATATAGTGAGTGACATGTCTTTTGGTTCTGTTGTATATACTTGAGTTCATAATTACATTCACACTTCGGGAATTCTTTGATTCCAATTTTGGTTCCCTCACAATTGACATTCGCACCTGCATTGTTTTTCAACACATTTGTTGTTGCATCATCATTAAAGGAACTAAACATGATATTATAATCAACGGGTTTGTCTTCAGTTTTGTGTGATATTATGACATTTGGAGAAGAAGAAACTATAAACTTGACAAGTGAAGTTGAGTCAACATTGAAAATGGCTGTTTCATATCCTGTTTTTGCAGAAACGACACAAATTGAGTTTGCGTTCACATTTATTGATGTTGAAAGTTCATTCAAGTATAACAATGAGTTTGTTGTATAAACCCCAACAAATTGGTTTTGGAACAAATAAATAGTACCCTGATTTGAAGTCAATGTATTGGTGTTTCCTGTATTCATATTTTTAATGGTTGTTGTCATATCACCGCTTAGTTTTATTCCTCCTTTAATGATCGTATCGATAGTAATGGTTGTAAATCCAGAGAATTCAAATATACCATCAGTTTCCAATCTTTTAACAAACAAATTTCCACTTCCCATGATTTTTAATGACTCGGTTGATGTTGAATTTAAAAGGACTATTTGTTGGTTTTGTTCTCCAATATTAATATTTTTTGTAACTTCTATTCTACATTCAGAGTCACTATATTTTGTGCAAGGACATATAGTATCCTCACCAAAATTATCAGAGGTGCAGTTTATTGTTGGTTTTTCATATTTCATATATGGATCCGAGTATAACACGACTTCAGAAGGAGTTACCATATACGATTTCTTTGTTTCAATTGATCCAATAGAAATAATATAATTATTTGTTCGTATATAGACAACACCATTAATGGTAGAAGTCAATTTTGTAACAACCAACTTACAAAACATTCCCAGATTCAGATCGCCGTTAAGAACCAAGTTATTGACAGTCAGTCGAGTAACAGTACTTGCCAATGTAATTTGTGTAAAAGAAAGTTCTTCAAAGGAAGAATCACCTTTTAGAGTTAATCCACCTGTACTATATACAATCCTTTTATCACTTGCATTTTCTGTTGTGCTTTCAATGATTAACTTCCCTTCATTTATGATCTTCCCCGAAATGTAAGTTTTGATTATTGTATTTTGATCTTCGTTTGGAGGTATATAAGCAATTCCTGTACCTTCACCAGTAAGTGTGTTGACAGTTTTTCCGTCAACAACAGCATAACAACCATTCTTCATTATGAGGTCTCCACTTTCATAATTAATCACTGAACCACATTCTTCAGAAAAGCTTAAACTCAACAAAACAAGAATAATTAGAGTCATTTATGATTTCAAGTCCAATGAAGTCGGTTCAAATACTTTTGACCTCTCGTTTCATCGACTTTCTATAAACTTTTTATCATCTAACACTTGACTGCCATTTTTGGCACTTTTACTTGTTTTTTAAAATGTTTAGATTTCTTTTCAATTTACCTTTGAAACGCCAAAATTATAAAAAACAAACCATTCTTTTTCGTCGAATTTATATTCATTGCAAGAATTAACATGATTAAAAGAACAAATCATTACAAATACAGAGACTTGACAACGTTCGTTTCAAAACAATTTTTTGTTTGGGCACATTTTTGGATAAGAATTATAACCAGATATTTAATGTGTTGTTATCTCTAAATTATTATCAAAAAACCCAATTTACAATCATTTTTTTAGATTGTCAATTTTTTTGCTTGATATATATTTTGTTGACTATCGTTGTTTAGTCGATGTGATTTATTTAGACTAGATGCTAACTTATTTTAATGTTGATATTTTACAACTCAAAACAACTGTATTTTACAAAAGAAATTGTAATAAAAAGCTTAATCATGATACAGCCTAGCAACGGCCTATCTTTGGAAAAGACACTCCATTCTAACCAACGTAGTTTGTCCAATTGCTTTAAAATTGAAATGAATCATTCCGTTTTATTCTTTTGACATTTCCTTCATTCAGCAAATAATGATGACTCATTTAGTCTAACTTCTATTTATATCAATCAAAAAATTATACACAAATCAAACAACAACTTAAATAAAAATAGAGTGTCACGTCACTTTGAAAAAAAAGAACCCAAAAATACTTATAATAACGAGGCTTAACACCAATACATAAAATCACATTTGATTATTGAGCACGTTAAAAAATGGGTGTTTGAGTGCCTGAGCTGCTGTAATTCTCTTTGCGGGGTTATACACAAACATTTTCTGAAGTAAGTCGACAGCGTCTTTATCTGCTCTAAATATGCTTGTGAACTCCTTTGGTCTAAAGCTCGGGAAACTTCTCAAGTAGTATTGAAGTGATGAGATTCCGGGCCACGACTCCTCTGTCGGGGTGCCAAGTTGACTAAAGATTTTGAACAACTGGTCGATCTTACACCGCCCTTTAAACAATTCTTCTTGTTTAATTAACTCTCCAAAGATAGCTGCTGTCGACCAAATATCAATAGAGCCGTCATACTTCAATGCCCCCAATAAAATCTCTGGCGCTCGATACCACAAAGTGACCACCTCAAGTGTATATGCTTTATCATTAATAGTGGTTAGCCTTGCCAATCCAAAGTCTCCCAATTTGATCGAGCCATTTTGGTTAATTAATATATTTTGGGGCTTCATGTCTCGGTGGAGGATCTCGTGGTGATGGCAAAACGCCAATCCTTCTAATATCTGGTAGACAATAGGTCGGATCTCGTTCATGTTCAACTTCTGTGTTTTGTTTGCAATAAATTGGTACAAGTCCTGGTCGCAGTATTCAAAGACCAAATACAGAAATTTATCCTCCAAGTAGATATCGTACAAACTACATTTTAATCAAATTCATTCTCATCTGTTATTAGAATTCTCGAAGATTTTTCAGAATCATTAAAAAGTGTTATTCAAATGTTTTACCAAAAAGACAAAAAGCGTCGCAACAAGCAAACTTGACGATGTTTGGGTGTTTTAGATCCAGTAGTACTGCGATCTCATGTACCGATGTGACGGGTATCCCGTCTTCCTCTCTCTCTTGTTTGATCTTCTTTAATGCGACGTTTCTACCTTCTTTAGTGTCGTAAGCTTTACAAACGACGCCATACGTTCCTTCGCCCAAGGTTTGTTGCTTCTGGTAACGAGACATCCCTTACTTATTCAGTTTGCAATACATTTCTATTCATTTTTTTTGGCAATAGAGCAACACTTGCCTACAACTATTGTTATGATTAGTTATATAATTATCTAATAGGTAAAGACAATACCCTTTTTGCTTCATTTCACTTCAGTTTGTATTGATCCTTCAAATAACAAGAAATATAGTTTCTTAATAGTTTAGTAATGGTTTAATCCGTTTTCACAAAAAACCTTTTGAACTCAATTTCCGAGTAAAACATCAAAACCAAACTCTCAACTCATAGAAACTTTGACCCATAACTAATGAAAAATAAAATTAAGTTCGTTGAATTTTCCTACACAGAGACTCAAGGAGTTGTTGATTGTCTGGTGTGAATTGGCTAAAGACGCTTATAAAAAGTGGATTTTCCTTTGTGTTCCACAACTGTAAGTAATATTGCACAGTGTCACGGGTGATGCACTTGAAGCACTTGTCATCTTTGCCAAATGTCAATATCAGAATCTCCATGATACGCTTCATTACACTTTCGTTCACTTTCAACATCCCTCTGAACGTCAATTTTTGGCTCCGAATCATTTGAATAAACAAACTTGGCAACTAACACAAAGAGTTGATAGACACACCCATCAGCAAAATATTGAAGAGGCAAGATGCTGAGCCAAACTAACACGTCACTCTCTTTAAAGAGTTCTGGAGACTGCACAAAGCACTTTCCCATACACAATACAGCTGCTTCGTAACATCTCAGATTCTTTTCTTTTATATTCAAAATCGGTTGGAGGACAACAACAAGGGAACTAATGAGATTCTTCATCGCAGGGAACTCGACTATTTTTAGAATCATATCAAGGGTGAACTCTACTAACCCGCCCTTTTCAAGTCGGTGGATGAACAAGACCATCAACTCTTGCATCATTTCCGTCTGATTGAGAATGCTCGCAGTTTCCACAAGAATATTTTCACTGAACATGGTCACTATGATGTTCTCTACTCCACTCTTCAACTCCTTCATGATCATTGGTAACATCACTGTTGAAAACACAGTGTACATCATAAGGGGTTGTGTCTGACATACCATTTTATAGAAACTCACATACGCTCCTCTAAACTGGTTCTCCACTTTCGCCTCTTCTGTTATCTTTTCTTCATCTTCGTCGTCTTCTTCTTCATCTTTATGCATAATCGACGTCTTTGCAAAAGATTCCCTGATTCGCTGACAATCTTCAGTGTACAAACTCCCCATCATTTCAACCAAATCTCTCAGTAACAGATCCCCGATCGTGTTATCCCGAAAAGCACTCAAAACGTCTTCAAAATTGTTGAGTAATGAAGTGGTAGTCACAACATATGATTCGTGCTTAATTTGATAGATAAAGACCATGACACATGTCATTTGGATTTGTTGATTCAATTGCCGGCTGTTCTTCAGTAACTGAATTAAATTCACAACACATCGCCCCGCACGTTCTCGTAACCCTTCATCATACACATCCTTAACTAGTGGAAGTATCACTTCAAACGAACGCAGTGCAAATGGAAGAAAGACTACATCAAGGTCCTTAGCAAAGTCGGCTATAGTCCTCACGGCATTTCTCTTCTCTTCTGAAATAGCAGTGTGGACGGCAATTCGTTTGTTCCCTATTTCCACTTCTTTGTCTTCTTTCTCATCCTCAAAACTACCGCCAATAACACTCATCTGAGCGCGTTGTAACACTAAATTGACGACAGAAGGAAGGTACGGCGCAAACTTGCTTCCCATAATTTCCGCTACACGAGAAAATGACGTTTCTACAAAGCCAAAAAGGGAGTCTTCTATTCTAATCCCCGGTCGTTGTGAAATCATATTTAACTCATTCAGCATTAAACAAGTGCACTTCTCACAGTAGTCACCTTTAAGAGTCATCGCAACTACACTCAGACACTCGATGACCCGCCCTTTCACATTGAAATCGTCATGTTTCAGCGACTCGACAAGTGCCTTCAAAGTCTCTTCAAAAAAGGGTGCAAATTTGTCTTCCATTTTGATGACTACATACGACAACGCACAAGCCGCTTCACTCACAATTTTGTCTTCCACTGATCGTAATAATATTTGTAATATTGGTACTATTCTTGGGTAATACACACTCAGTATTTGACTCTCAGTTAAATTCAATATAGAACACAACAAGTCACATGTTCGTGAGACAATTTTGGGATATTGGCTCGTGATACAATCCCCTATCACATTCATCACACTTTGTATCATCATCGCTTTCTTCTCTTCACTTTCAATTTTGAATATCTTATCAATGATCACTATAATCAAATAGATGTTTCTGGGACAGTCATCATTTTTTAACACCGTCAAGATGTTCATGACATAGTCCGTCACTTTTAAAAGGGTTTTCTTTGATCTTCCATACGCGTGGAAAAGAAGATTCAAAAGTGTATTCCGTTCTTGCCATTGTGCAGATTGCGCCATCCGTTGTGCCTGTTGAAAGATATAATTGAGCAAATTGGAAGTCCCAAATTGTGTGTAAAGGGTATCCAGGCCACTTATAGCACGGGTGTACATATCCAAGTCTTCGTCGTCCTCTTTCCCTACCAACCATTCGTTTGTTATTTTGACAGTCATCAACCAGTTGATCACAACGACCAACACTCTCTCCTCTAACTCTTTGGATTTTTTAATTTCCTTAGGAAACCCTTCACAGATAGCTATCAACGTATCAAAAGCGGCGTATCTCACATCAACATGCGTTGCTTGATTCAACGATATATCGGAACACATTTGAATGCATGGAGCTATGAACTCAACTAATTCAATGTTTTGGTTCAAAAAGAGTTCGGTCACATCGCCAAGTATGTCGCACCGTTCAGTCTCGTTGGAGTCGAGTGATAAGATCCCTTTGATCTTCTCTAAAAATAGTGGGAAGAATACAAAGAGGTTCTTGATGTCTGAGGGAAACTCAAAATTTAATACAACAACGGTAAACAGTTTAAAGGAGTCTTTGATCCACGACAACGCGTTTTGGCTCAATCCGTGTCGAATCATTTCAACGTATTTACTCACGTAAAGCGCTTGCTCTTCCTTAGGAGACGATGGCACTATTTCATGTGTCAACAAATTGAACGCCATCACTCGATGTTCTTCGTCGCCAACAACCCATTGAAACACAGCGTCGTGTAATGATGGAAATGACATTTTAAGTCGTTGCATCGAGTTATAGATCGACGCCAATATATTCGAATACCCCTTTAATACACCAGGGACATGTTCTAAATTAGCCAATTGAAGTAATGTTTGTGAAAGTTGGAGGCGGACTTCTATAGAAAGTTTATCGAAAATTGAGTTCGACTCTCCCTTAAGAAGACCAGTTTTAAATGAGGTGATACACTGAAGGCGGATCGTTACGTTTTCACAATGTTGAAGAACTTGGATATGAAGACCAATAAAATTGTTTGGAGATTGTTTGATTGATTCATACACTCGACACGCGTTATCGTATGTCTCTTTCGAGCGTAGGGGACCATCTATTATCACTTGGAAAAGACTCACTGCATATTCTAAAGTGTTTGCAGGGGCTGACATATATCTTAGTTCCTCAAAGTTTGGATCAAAAATTATAATGAGGGTTTCTTTTTTTTGTGGAATATATTATTCAATGTGTTAACAAAAAAATCGAAAATGCCTTATTTGTCGATGAAATGTTCGACAGTCGATACAAGTGGTAATTTCAAGGAAATAAATGTGTAAAAAGAACAGTTTTTCAATTAAGCATTAAATTTTTTTTTCTCGTTCTATAAATTTTGTTTAATGGTGTTAAAATTATTGTTTAATTTATTATATTTTATAATATTTACAATAATATATTTTGATCGAAAAAGAGTTTTTTATTAATATTTTGAATATATTGTGATATGATAAAAAAATTATTTAATTATATTTTAATTATACTTTTTATAATATAATATAATATATATTAATAAAATATAAGATAATAACTTCTTTAAAGTTTTATCGAGTCAAGTTGATGTGAAAATACTACGGAGAAGGAGATCTATTGCGATAATTTGGATCATTCCTATTTTCATGTCTTTCCCAATGGTCGTCTCTTCTTTTTCTATCTGCTTCAGCTTTTTTGTGATCACCACGCATATCCCATTCTATTGCTCTGAGTTGATGGTAAAATCCATGAACCTTATCTCTTTGGTCCGCATGGTCTTTCCAATACCAATCCAGTGACTTGGTAATTGCTCTTCCATATTTGTCGTTAGACATTGAGTAAATTAAGAGTCGAAATTCTTTTTAAAGTATCAAAAAGTCATTACTATTAAATGAAACATCATTACAATTAAATATCATTAATCAACATGTGTTGTTTTATAAAACATTGCTGTCGTCTTAGTATAAACAACAAGAATACAAATTTTAATTTATAACGTTTTATAATAACTTTTGGATAGCAAACACATTTCACATTTCAGATAGGCACTTTTGAATTTGACAAATGTGGTTAACATTTTTCCCAAGTTCAACATTGACATTTTTAAATTGTAGAGGCAGTGTTTCTTGATTGAAACTGTTTATTAAATAGTGTTGTTTATTGTTTTCTTGTACAAGTAGTGTATAATAAGTGTTAAGTATTTGTTTGGTGTTTATCCCTTTTACTTCTCGTTGTTTTGTTGTTTGTACGAGTCTGTAATACCCTCGTCCAAGATATTTTTCTTTCCCATTTTGAATTTCACCAAGATGATTTAAAGTGTCAAGAAACGACTTCTTCCAATTTTTCTTCTTAACTGTTTATTAATGCTTGTTGAATGGCAATACAATAGAGTAGAATTAAACAAACAAAAAGGTATGGCTTGTAGAATAGACCAATGAGATGTGATATAAGGCAACAAATCAACTGTCCAGTTCAAAAATTCTTTTTCACTAAAGAGTGATTGAACTGCCTTGAAGATGTAAAGAACCAATTTAGAACCTTTGAGCTTTTGTATTTCAGAAGTGTGAGTACACAGTCTGCATTTACACATAACTTGTTGCTGCATAATCTGTAAATTATATTCACAAGATGTTTATATATCAGTGTCTCGGATTTTTGAGAGAGAATCCGTCATTGTTGGATTTCGCGCCTGCCGAATTCTAATAATTACATCAAACAACGAATTTGCTAAGTTTTTTCGATTTTTGTTGTTCCCTCTTTTCAATCTTTTCGTTGAAAAGGTACCTTGTTCATTTTTGTGTTCCCTCCTTTTTCACTATATTTTTACGTTGTTTTTAAATGATTTTAGGGTCCATTCCATAATAAACTCGAGTTGATATTATTTATTCCCAAAAAAGTCGAACAAATGCCTATTGATCTTTGTGACAGTCTCCACCAAAGCCACGTCCAAATTTAGAATAGTTCATATTTTCACAATGTAAATCACTATCCAAGTAAATTCTAATTAATAAACTTAAAAGCATACTTTTGACCGATACCAATAAAAAAGATCTTTTAACTACAAGAAACAGAACTAAAAAATAACGAAATAGACCTCAAAATTTTCGAAAAAAAATGAATTCACCCTAAAGTTCTCCCTCGCCATCACCGAACACGATCCAGTCGAATTTCCAGTCTGTTGGCAGTCCGTTATAGACAGTGTTATCAAATGGCTTCTTTCCGAATGTATAGAATGGTTGTGTTTCGTATTGTGGTGAAGAGATAGCGTCAATTTTCATCGCCATAGCTCTCTCGTAATTAATAGTTTTGGAGTCAAGCCCACCGAAATCGCTTGGGCAGTGGACGATAGCTGGGTTAGTTGGGCTTGGGATACATTCTTTCGGTCTCAAGTCGTATCTAGACAAAATGAATTGTCCCGGATCATTGACCAAAGGATCATTTGGCCAGTTATTGTACCTCATGAATTTCTTGAACCCCTCATAGTCTTTAATATTAGGGGCGTCTCTCTGAATCAATTTCATTCGATCACTTTGCCAATAATCGAAGTACCAATCGTTATCATTTTTACACTTCTCGCCCACTCCGGCATACTCATAAACGTCGGCAAAGAATGGAGAATTCACTGAAGGAATATAAGTGTTTTCAATCAATTCTTGGGTACGATCTCCAACACCATAAAACCCTGGCATTTGTTCGATTGCGTACAACATCCCTGGCTTAGGTTTCTTTCCTTTCGTGAATTTGTTATAATCGATGATGATATACTGATTGTTATATGTTCCTGAATTCTCTCGAATGAAGTTTTTCGCCCATTGGACGCCACTTCCTTCTTTAGAAGATAACCAATTTGCTACTTGGACACGAATCCAAGTTAACACAGACTCCGGAGTGCACTTCTCAAACTGGTCTTGATTCCAGCAGTGCATCGTCGTTTCAATGACAGAGAGTCCATTGCTCAACAACCAGAAGTCGTCCAACGAGTGTGTGACACCCGGATAACTACTGAACTTGATGCTTTTCTCTCCAATAGCTTTGTCAAAGTATTTCATGTGATAATCCTTCATGATTCTGTTCATAGTAGTTGGTGACGACCATGTATCTTGTGCTACAAACAAGTCGGAATAATCCGGCAACAACTTAATCAGACCAGTGCAGTGACTGTGCAACTCATACCACTTGTCTGGGAATCTTGTGTGATTACCATGGTGGAATCCTTTCATTTCTGGCCACAAGCAGTGAGCCGCGATGTTCTGTAAATCTCCCAAATCGCCGTCTGAGTTCAAAATAAAGATGTCCGTCTCAGTCAATGGGAGGACGGGAAGTTTTCTCAAAGCGCCTTCTCTCACTCCAAATGTTTGTGCAAGGACCAGTCCAAGTGCTCTCGCCCATGGGTCATTCAATGATTGGTCTTCGACTATTTTCTTGTTGTAAGCAATGTTTCTATTGATGTATTGTAATGTGACATCGTCCCACTCTTCGACTATATTTTGTGCGCGTTGATTCGCCATACTATCTCGAATATTCCCCGCAGTCAAATAGCCTTCGACCATTCCCGCACACTTCGCTATTTGTTTATCCATATCGAGCGAGGTTGACTGTGCTGAGTTGATTCGCAAAAACCCCCAGCCGTGCTGAAAAAGTGTGTCTTTAAATGTACCCGTCGCAAGGTACGTCTTTGCAGTGTCAATTGGTGACTCGACTATATACTCATTGCCTTCCAAGTAACATCCGGCCTCGTACGTCCCTTCACCCAAGACAGTTCCTATGAAGAAGAGTAGCAACAGCATTCTACAATTTTTCAGTTTTTACAGTTCCTCTAAAAATCGAGTCAACTGGAATTATCTGACTCTTCGGTTTTTTCTTCAAAAAACTTCTTTCTTCCAGGTACCCTTCTCTTCGTTTTCCTCTCGGCATTTTTATTCTATTTTTCCCTGTTTTTTGTTCTTTCTTTATTTTTTGTTCTTGAATTCTTTTTTGTATTTTATGCTAAAACCATCAAATTTAATTTAGTTATTATAAAATAAACTAGTAAGTCGTATTTGGCAAATTGTATTTTTTGGTACTATTTCTTTAATATGAAATAAACAAAAGAACGAAGAAGTAAGTTACAACATACGATTGATTGAGTTAAAACAAAATGTATGAAGACAAAATAAACTCAATCAACAATTGCTTTATGCAGCAGTCACAGGTACAGAGGTCGTACTGTTTTCGATGTTCGGGACTATCGTTTTCGTATACTCCTACTTGTTACAATGCTCATAAAACAACCATTCTATTTATACTATCCCACTCGATCTATTAAGTAAAGAACAAACAAAGAACATATCCAAGAAGTGTTCCATCCCTTTCTTCCTCACCATTTCCTTCGATACTTTCTCATCGACAAACTCGGTCCCATCAGAAAGAATCGGCTTGACAAACCCCAAACTCTCGTCAAATGTCGAATCAACGCGGAACACAAGTATCAGTTTAGCGCATGCAAATGCATCGCTCGCAACGGTGGACACAATAACTTTGTCGTTCTCGCATTGATACTTGAAAAATTCCTTAGCGTTGCAGTACTTCGCAATTTCGTGTAACGTTTTTTCAAATATTTCGGGATACGCTGGGTGTTCTTTCACAAGACTCGTCACAGACTCCGTGTTATTCTCAAACATTTTTTTCAACGCTTCTCTGTGTTCGTCGACTAAATTAGGTCGTGGCGGTGATTCTAATACCTTTTTGTTTTCTCGCTTTTTCTTCCTCCCAGTCGCACTCGATACTACACTTCCCGCTCGACTCACATTATCTTCCTCTTTAATCCCACTCTTCGAGTGTCCAGCCTTCGACTTTGTCGACGGAGTTGGAGCTTTTGGGGGCATTGGAGGATGAACTGTTGGTTGTGTAACACTCGCTGACGTTTGGAATTGTGGGGGACGCATGGTGTTCATCTGCACCATCTGAGGGTTCTGCATCGTCAGTATCTTCGGGTCAAGTACCAAATTCTGTTGTCTCAGATGTGGGGCGTTGAGGGGCATGAACTGTGGTCCGACCATTTGTTGTCCCTGTCTCATCTGTCCTCCAACTGTCATTTGTCCAGGCTGTAACTTCAAATGAATCGGATTTGTTTGGACCCCATTTTGTGCAATTGTTTGTTGTACATTTGGTGTCATGCTTTGTGGTATCACAGTTTGTTGTGGCGATTCTTGTTTTTGTGCGTTTTGTTGTTGTTGTTGAATCACAACAATGCCTTGCTCATTGCCTTGTTGTACGTTAACTCCATTCATCCCTGGCACACCTTTGATTTGGTTTGCAAACACTAATTGGCCTGTTGGCATGTTTGGAGCAATGATATTCTGTGGATTCCCTTGCATCTGTCCCATGAATGCAGGGTTCATTGCCATTTGGAAGTTGACTTGTCTCAACATTCCCATATTCGGACTAACTCCAATAGTATTAGCGCCACCAACAGTTTGAATTCTTTGTCCTTGTTGCATTTGCCCTTGTTGTGGCATATTGACTTGCTTAATCATTGGTTGTCCATTGAATTGGTGTGGCATGCCAGGTTGTGGTTGGAGTGATGGCAAGTTCTGTGGCATCTTCACGCCTTCCGGCTTCGTCATCTTTTGCATCATCTGTCTTATTTGGGCTTGTGGAAGTTGTTGGACAAATTGGAATGGTTGCATGTTACCCATCGTCATTCCCGGCATCATTTGTGGTATTGTTCGATATTGTATCCCCCCTTGGGTCTGCACCATTCCGTTCTGTCCAACTTTTTGTATCCCTCCTTGCACATTAGCTTGTAATTGTTGTGTTTGTTGTTCCCCCGCATTTTGTGGTTGGGCTTGTTGAATAATGGCCTGCATCCCGGGTTGAAGTTGTTGGATGTTTTGTTGTTGTCCCATTCCCATCGGTGCTACAATCTGTACAGTCCTTCCATATGGTCCCATGCCATTAATGTTTTGCATTTGCATCTGTTGTCCCATCTGTTGGACAATCCCATTGCCCTGTCCCATTGACGGGACATTAACTCTTCTAATCTCCGCCATCCCGCCATTTGTTAGTATTTGTTGGGCAACTCCTCTTTGTTGTTGTACCCCTTGTTGTTGCATCTGCATCCCAATTGTTCTGAATTGAGCCATTTTTGTTGGGTCCATTTGTTGGATCGGAGCTTGAATAATGGGGTTCACCTGTTTCTTTTGCATTTGAATGCCTTGTACCCCTTGGACACCTTGTTGTACATTGACGGCTCCAAGTTGGACTTGTTGTATGTTTTGTGGCTGCACCTGTTGAATTCCTTGTTGTTGCATCTGCATTGGCTGTTGCATGTTTTGGATATTCTGCGTCATTTGTTGGAAGTGTTGTTTCTTCGCATTGACCTGTTGAGTATTACCTGGGACTGCCCTCGGCATTTGTTGTTGAAATTGCATCACACCTTCTGGTTGTCCCCCTGGTCGAGCGAATTGTAAATGCATCTTTTGGTTAATGAAAGGAGCTTGTTGCATTCCGGTTTGGTTCAACGCGAGTTGAGCTTGTCTAATATTAGGAACGTTTTGTTGAACGCCGATGACTGTTTGTAAGTTTTTAAAAGGGGGGAGTGTATGTCCGGGATCAGTGTGTTGTTGTTGGTCTTGTTGTATTTCTTGTGACATTTGTTGGACTGTGGGTGTTGGCTTTGCTGCGACAACCTTCGATTTTTGCTGTTTTTTCGAGCGGTTTTGTTTTGGCATTTTGTTTTGGAATTTTGAGATGCCCTTTTATAGCACTTCACTTTTTATTGATTTTTAGTCGTTTTGAAAATTTGTTCTGTTCCTCAAAATGTTTTTCTTTATGTTTTTTGTGAGCTTTTTGCTTTTGAGAAGAATGATGGCATAGTTTTTTTCCTTTAATTTCCCACCTTATTGGGTATTCGCCTTCTGTTTTCCCATATTTCATTCATTAGTTTTACGACATTCTATTTTAGAAACATTAGAAAGGAAATTGGGTATGACAAACGCATGTTGGTTTTACCAACGCTGAACTTCATTATTTTTTTATAACAATTCTTCTGTTGTTGCCAACTTTTTCAATTGGAAATAAAAAAGAGTCTTTATTGTAATAAAATACAGGGAATTGTTATTTTTTAATAGTTTAATTCGAAAAATATAATCATTACTTCAATTTGAATTGCAAAAACAGTTTGTTTATACTTAATAGAAATAGAAATACCAATTATTTCGTTTTGCATATACTATATTATGTTCAAAAAAAATATAAAAGTTTATAAAATTGCGTTATAATATTCTTTTGTGACGGGATTTTACCCTATTGTATGAATGGGTAAGCTTTCATTAATCGATCATTTGGTATAATTATATAAATTATATTTATATTATTAATTTTCAAAAAGGCAACTGTTTTTATTTTTTGATACATGTGCTTCTAAAGTTAATTATTACTTCAAATCTGACTTGCTTGCTTTTCTCAATCTAATATGCTTTGTTTTATGTTTGTGAGCACTCACGTTTTGATGAACACGGTTGGTCGTATTTGTTTATTTGAAAGTGTTTCAAATCCTTCATGTTTATTCTTATAAACAAATTCTATATTTAATAGTAAAATTACAAATAAAACAACCAATCCACATTTAAAAGTCAATTAATAAAAAAATTAATAGTTATATTATATATTCTATAATTTCAATAATTATAAAACAACCAATACACAAACTATATAAACCCTATTTTTTCACCACATAAAAACAAAATTGATTTTAAATGTTATTCATAATACAAGTTGATAATGTTATTCAAATGTTATTCAAACCAACCGCAGAGCTACAAACAATTCAAACACAAGGCGTTGACCTTCCAAACTCATTGAGGGAATTCAATATGAATTTGTAATCCGGTCTTTTTTCAGGGTCTTGAGCCCAACATTTATTAATAAGTGCCACAATTTGGAGCGGTACATTTTCTGGCAAAGTAAGCCGTTTTCCACTTGTAACAAATTCTTTGATCTGAAGTTGGGACATTTCCTCGTATGGCTTTTTACAACTGAACAAGTGGTACATCGTCATCCCAAGACTAAATGTGTCAACTTGCAGGGAGTACCCATCGCCTTTGATCACCTCCGGCGCCATATACTCCAGCGTGCCAACAAAGTCTCTTATCAACTCGCCTTCCTTCACTTGAACTGCGCACGAGAAGTCATGCAATTTGACAAAGAGACTATTTCCGACTCCACCCATAGATGCAGACTTGCAGAGCCTAAGTTTGTGTGGCTTCACATTCCGATGAATAATTCCTTCTGATGAGAGATATTGGAGTGCAGTGACCAAATTCACACAACACCGCCCAATGAAGAATGGGGGTAAAGAACGGTCAAGGACTTGGTCAAGACTAAATTGTGTATCTGCTTCCTAATGATAAGTATTTACTTCTGAATACAACAAACATCTTTAAACAACTTCTTTTTATTTATATAGACTCAATAAATTAAAATTTTTAATTAAATTTATTATAAATTTCATATAAAATGTTTTATATATATAATAAAGTCTAATTTGTAAGATATAATACTTAATAATAATACAAACTAAAACAAGAAGTGACCGTTCATAATTCACACCAACCATTTGCACCACTGTTGTGTGGTGTATTATTGTGTAATTATCTAATATCCTTTTAATGTCGTCAGAAGTTACAAAGGACTCCTCGGGGTCAAATTTGAAAACAAAAACTTTACCAGAACCTTTGTACGTCGCAAATCGGCCTTTTGCATCGCCAACTTTAATACAATCACTCAGTCCACTTGTCAATGTATGAAGTTCAGTTGGGTTCATTGTCGGCACTCTTTCTTTATTCTTTTTCGCGTCAGTGATGATAATTTTCCTGACGATGGTGTCTTGAACTACTTTTGGTGGTTTGGGGTCTTCTGCGTATATAACATCTTTTGTATGAATAATAGGAATAACCCCCACCATATGGAATCGAAGAGTTAGCACTGAAGTTTCATTGCCAATCAGTGCTTTTTTCTTTAATTGAAATGTCACCTCTCCAGTCAATCCCGCGACTGAGACTGTGTTAAAACACACTGTAATAACAACACTCTTCCGACTTTGTTTTTTGATATTCAGTTTCTCCTCATCCACCTCTAAAATATACTTTGACGATGTGCTAACTAAAATTGTCATTCGATAAGCGTCGTTTGTTTTGTTGTGAAAAGTGACTGTTTGTGAGAGTGGTACGCCTTGCACCGCATACTGACCAAACGATAATTTGGTCATTGGCTTTGCGTTATTTTTTTTCTAAAAGACTTTTTGATGGAGACAACGTCGCCTATTTTTATACGTTGCAGTTTATATTTAGAAGTAAACAAACCGGCTCAAGGTCAAACGGAAATTTGACCTGCGTCGAGCTGATCGACGACGTGCGTAACTCTTTCGAGAGCGACATCTTTAGCCTTTCTCAGTTTCATTTAGGAATCAAAACACACCAATTATTTCCACCAGTCGAATTATTCTGTTTTTCGATATTATCTTGCCTCTTTTTGTGTATGAAAAAAATAACTCATAAACATCGACCCCGACTCTTCGCTTGTTTTAAACTCCAATTTATTCAACATTCCCCCGACCAAATTGTCTGATCAAGAAATAAAGTCTTTTCCAAAATAATTGATTTATAACATCCGTATAGTTCCGCCCTCCATAAATAGTTGAACAGAACAACCAATAAAGCCCAAAAAGTTCAATTCAATTTAACAGGAATATTATCCTCTTCAACCCTCATCAATCGGGATATTCCATTATGTAATTATCATTTCTTTTAGATCGGGGGTAATTTTTAGCATATTTCGTTATCCCTTATTTAGCGCTTTTCTGGAGAAGAACGAATACTCACGGTCACCTTCCGCCTTTGTTGCCGATAGAATCTTAAAATAGTTCAGTATGGTATAAAAGTGTTGTCGGTATAGTTCCATTTA